GGGGGAGGGGGAGTGGGGAGAACTTCATAACAAAGCTCACACGAGGATTAAGTCACCTGATTTGAACTTGTTCGTCCAGCTCGGGTACATCGTCTTGGTGTACTGTCAAAGATATGTTTCGTGTCTTTTCTCCATTCGCAAACACAAGAGCTCCCGTTACAGGAGTAACCTCACCAGGGCTGAAGTTACCCGTTACATTCCATAATACCACCACACGACCAAATTGTCCGACTTCCCTAACAACTTCAAAAGAGACTAGAGTGTCTTGTTTTAACTCAGGTTGGATTTTCTTCAGCGACGCATCACTAAATCCCACTCTGCCATGAGCGTTGTCATTGGATAATATCGTGACAGTCAATTGTTTGTTTGGACCAACCACAGCCTTTCCTGATGCATTACTCAGAAGGATGGAAAATGTTTCGTCTTTTTCGGGTGTCGTGTCTTGAAGGATGGAAAAGTCAAGTTCAAGGTCTGTTTGCCCATTCTCGAAGGTTAGTTGTCCTTTCCTGTTTCAATATATGAGAATTTATATAATAAATGAAATATTTATAAAATACACATGTTAGCTACATGATTCCCGAGTGAATTGATACCGACGTAATTAGAGAATCGATCTGTAGATCGATGGGTAAGCCTTTACAGTTTTTCAAGTGTATTCGCTTATAGCACAGAACTCTATAATGCAGTTACACTAGTTCTCAATAACAGGCGCGGAAACATAGACACGAATCATTGGAAACCTCGCGTTTCCGACAACGTCATGAAGTAACCTCAATTGACTTTCACTAAAATCTACTTTGACACGACGTACTATGTCTAGAAAAATCTTCGTACCTTGGTATGAAGTCAGCCTGTGGTGATAGTTTCACGGGAACAAGGACACGAGAGACGGCAATACCACTGGCTGCAGTAACTAGCATCTGTAACTCACCAGCGAATGGGTCATTGATGATTACAGGTTGTACACTGGACGCACCCGGTAATGTGACGTTCTATCGATTGAAGTAATATGCTCGGTTAGAGCAAAAGTATGTATACCAAGAATATACAGACCATAAATTCAATGGACTACTTCGACGATACGGCGGCCATCTTGGACCGCAAGGCATTATTGGGCGTAGAGGGGGGCAAATAAAGCTTTGTTGCAGTAATGACGTCGATTGATATTGACAGCTCTTCACAAGAGAATAAGAACAAAGATGTATTAAGAGGGCACGTCGATTGCCGCCGTATCGTCAAAGTAGTCCATTCCATCCTATCAGGGAATCGGATTTTTTCCCGAGTTCCTTTACTTTCGCTATGACAGTATTGATTATAAGAATATGATGTCAAGAACATATGATTACATACCAGTTGTAAGACGAATGAATTCGCTGGAGAATCCCATGAATAGATCTTCAGTTGGTCAGTTCCATCCAATATAGACAAACAAGCTGTAACAGAATTCGAAAATGAAGTTAAACACGAAGTAACTGTAACTGGAAACATGTTATGTAATGAAATCTTCAATCCTGCGCTATGTCCCCCTTCCCCCCCTCTCTTATATATCCCTATACCTCAGTCAATAAAGAAAATTAGAAATGAAGAGGGATAAAGATAAATAAATAAATTTATTTTTTTCCGGTCCAGTATCCTAAAAAATCGTGCATTCTGATTGGCTGTTTGAGCGGGCGGTATTTTGTCAGTATCTGCCGGCGGTCGCGGTCCGGTATCCTTGGCCGCTAAACAACAAAACAAAACGAATAAAAAACAAGTAAGAAAATACGAGGAAAAAATACATAAGTTATTTACCGTCCTATAGTCGGTCCGGATAGGGAAAAACTGTGCCCTCGGTCTTGATAACGTATATTCAAGACCTCGTGCACAGTTTTTCCCTATCCAGACCTCCTGGCCGGTAAATAACATATATAGATTTTTACTGTTGCAAAGCTGGTCTTCACCATTTCAAAGTGAAAAGAATGTGTGCTACCGATGACACACAGTAGCTTGCATTCATTCCTTAGTTTTATGCTAATGGCGTTATGACGTTAGTGCTCTCATCTGAACGATGGGAGCACTACGCGAGGTGATGAAATTATGTAGATACCGTAATTTCACTGGGGTAAATATGAATGTAAAAACTGCACGGACGTGCCGTGCCATGATCGTAACGGTGCCGCATGCGTGCATGTAAAAGTAGTAATATCGGTACCCTATGCTTGGTTCATCGGAAGTCACTAATGCCGCACTGTGTCCGTGCCGTGTAACAGTTATACGTAATGTACTCTACGCTTACCGTTACAAATCATACCTTTGCCGTTGTAGCTGTACGTCTTAGCAGACTTCACTTCCACGGTTGGGATGCTCTGCATTGACGTGAAGCTACCACTTGTCGACCATTTATGGACTGCAACGTCTCCCTTAGTGTTCGCGAACACCAAGAAATGCTCCCCACCTTGTTCAAAATACTCAACATCTATTGGTCCCTTAGTAGAAATCTCCTGTTTCAACGCGAACTGATTGCCGTTCCATGTGAAGACGAGGGAATCGGTGTCGAAGGTGTTGCCAACACTGTCATAGAAGTTAGAGACAGCTAACATTTGGATTCCATTGATGGTAAAAACAGCAAGACCAGATGCTTTACGGGTTTGCTCAACAAGATTGGAATGGTATTTGAAGATTCCGTCTTGCAAATTGTACACCTGAAGCAATAAGGATTATCCCAAAAAAAAAAAGAAAAATGAAAAATTGATAACTAGAAAATTAATAACTGAAAGTAGTCTACAGTCAAACCAAACTTCCAACAAAAAAAATATAAATAAAGATACAAATACGAAAATAGAAAGTACAAAAATGAAAGAGACATTAACAAAAATTCAACACGATAAACCATGGGACAGTGCATTTTACATGTGGGCTGTTTCAAGAGACATATTTCTAAGATGGCGTCTCTCGCGTAGCGTAAAACGGTCTCATAATGCTCTGCAATGACAAACTCGACCCAGTTTTTTCATCAACCTCGGAATCATCATCATCATGTCCAGTCTCCCATCTCGGGGGTTATGGTGGGCAAGCCATCCTGATTCCTTTCTACGGCTTATACAGACAGGGGACGCCACACCTCTAGCTCTCTGCCCGACCTCAGAATGGCTAATACATATTACATATATCACTTATATATAAGGAGTATTTAATGCAGCAAGGAGGCCAGTAGAAAACAAGCGCCGCTTTTGATAGTCTCTATTCTTGAATAGTTGTGTATTAATGAATAAAAACACAGTATTCAAGAAAATGGCAAAATCTTCTTAAATAAATTGAAAGAGTTCAACTGGGAGCTGAATGTAAAGAAAGATAGGACAAATTTGAACCAAGCTGCATTTGCTACTAGAATGCTCTATGGTCGTGTGGTATAAAATGGGACAATATTATTGCACCGACTAAAAGGACTAAACAAGCGTTCATTACCTTTGAATCCAGCTTTGTTTCTCCAGCATTATTCTTTTGGTTTGCAATAACAAGATACAACTGATGGTTGTTGCTGAAAAACTTCACGTCAGAAGCGCCCTGGGTTGATATGTTTTGTACAAGTGTGACGTGGTAATCTCTATCTAATCGATACACACTCGACTTTGTCTCGGTTCGTCCTTCTTCTCCGTAGTTTGCAACGGCTAGATACGTTGAACCGTTATAGGTGAATGAATCGCAATTAACTGCACCATCACTTGGTATTGACTAATATAAAAAAGTAGCAAGAATAAATAATGATAATGGGTAAATAATGAAAAATAGATAATTAATAATGGTCCCTCTAGCACCTGACATCAATAAGATAATGAATCTTATCACCACGTATCAAAGATTGGCCCATTGTTCGGTTGCAATTTTGAAGTGCCAATTGATTGAGACCACTAATTGTAATCCGCTATTGTTTGAGTTCACTGATGTAATTTTGAATTAATTATCAAGTGCCAATATTCCAAAAGCCGATTCTTACCCGAAGGAGTTCCGTTTGGAAGAAGAATCCGAAAACAGCCTGGTTTGTCATATATTGGATCAATTAGACTCGGTCCAGATAATCTCAATCGTAGAAAAATGTCGTAACCAGAAATCGGAAAAGAAAGGTTTCTACCCAATCAGAAGCCAATAATTTAATTGATAAAGACAACAGTTTGTTTGCACAAAACCTAACTCCGACTTTCACCTTACTCGGGTCACAATACCCTCAATGAAGTGAGTCACCAAATGTCATTTGTTATGATCTTAGTTCATTGGTACTCAAAAAGCTTCACGAGCTTACCATGGGTTATTAAAAATGTGATTATTTAGCAAATATTTCCGTAAATGTAGCAGGCTAAATGATATTTAGAAAACACAATATTCTGAGCCTCTTAATCTTTCCGGTACGAGTTAATTATTGTAATAAATATATTTGCAGTACCTGGAGTTTCGTGTAGACACCCTGCCAACGATACAACGCTGACCCAGAAAAGCCATTCACATCACCACTGCTGTTATTTGTAAGCACCAGAAAATCGACACCATAGGCACTAAAACTGTACCAGCTTATAGCACCTGTGGTTTTGAGGCCCTGTATGGTCTCAAAGTGCACCACATCACCCGAAGTAGATAGAGCAGTGTTTGGTACTGTTTGGTAATCGACTGTGATGCGACCAAAGTTTCCCTTTTTACGCGAGACTTTAGCTTTTACAATCTTTGTAAACTCTTCGACATTGACAGTACTTGCAGATGAAGAGACGGACGTTATCTCTAGTTCACCGTAAGGGTAGTCATTCTCAGATACTGTTAGAAAAGCTTGATAGGGTGACTTGACCCGTCCACCATCACCTGAAAAAAATTCAGAAATGGGATCAGCTCCTGGAATCGATCGTGGTCTTTGTTCTCCGAGGAGAGTATGTCCCCGGCCTACATTCCCCTTGACATTCATTTGCGGAACAAGAGCCACAGGTTCGTTAGACACTGGTCATTAGGGACCGTTCATATTATTTATCGGAGGGGTATGGTTGATAAAATAGAAAAAGTACATAATTTCTCCAAACCCCCATTGGTATGCTCAATAGTTTTCGGGACACCCTATCTCGTTCCATCATTTTGAAGGCCCTACTTCATATAAATCATCAATTACTTGAAGACCCCTTTTTGCATAGTCTCCCTCGCATCCGTTTTTAGTGTCGGTCGTCACGCAACGCTCCCTCCCCACAAACGGCTGCTTACATTCGAACTACATTCCTTTCTCATTGTTTGGATCGTACCAATGAGGTCGAGCGTATTGTTTCCTATTGAGCCAATCACAGTGTCCGAAAGTATAAACATGCTGAGTTTCAATCGAGCTGCCGAAGAACATCCTCGAAAAAAATCGGTGCGGAATATTCGCCGTTTTCGACTTCACACCGTTCTTCCTCTTCTAGTGAGCTTATCTTCACAGAACTAACTCCTAAACTACGTAACTTTGAGACTTGGTCATCCATTAGACGTATTTATAGCGGCCTTTAGATACGACGACGTGTACGATAACGTAAGTCTTAGTCGATTTCCGATTTTTTTACAATCTAAAGTTTCAATTTATTTCATATACCATCAAGACAACAAAGAGATAGTGCCAATCTTTAAAAGTTTTAACTCGGACTCGTTCTCGTACTCGTCGTCGGACGTAAAGATCTCAATTAAAGGAGACACAACAACCACGATGTGACCAGACTCTAGTGTATATTTGTAGTCAAATACGAGAGGCAGAGCTKGATAAATTAGAGATTTGCCAAACCCTGTTGGAAGATTGTCAAAAATATCTTTTTTCTCTTCGACTAAAATTTTGATAGCCGACTTCTGATGCGCATTTAGATCAGGAATACCGAACTTTGAAGACACGAGGCCAAACATGTACACTTCTTCTATGAACGAACGAGTTGAGAATGCGAAATAAAAGATGCACTGTGATTGATCAGATCAAAAGTCCGCGAACGGTTCTCTAAATATGTAACCCGTCTTGTGATTGGCCAAATAATGAGAAAGGAATGTCGTTCGAATGCAAGCAGCCGTTTGTGGGGAGGGAGCGTTGCGTGACGACCGACACTAAAAACGGATGCGAGGGAGACTACTTTTTGCAAGGTGTCACTAAAATCTCAAGGTCCCCCATTTTCTCAAATATCCAAAAAAAATCCTTTCATAAATAATGAATGGTTCCTTAGTGTTACCCTAGAGAACGAAAGGTGCGTTATCTATTTCTTATTTGCACCAACAACAGCTCCTTCCTTCTCGAAAATCACATTTATAAGTGAAGAAGCTTCCTGTTAAAATATGAGTGTAAATAAATAAATAAATAAWTAATTAAAGTTAAACATCATTTCGCTTACCGGACACAATCGACAATTCAATGACAAAGACTTCGTCCTTCTCAGGATGGGAATCCAGCAGACTATTGATGGTAAACTCTTTTTCATCTATTTTCTCCTTGAACTCCATTGTACCATTAACAGGGCTAACATCCAGTGATGCTGAACTATTAACCACCCGCCAACCAACCATAACAGTCCCAAAGGTGGCAACCTTACGGACAACCTTAAAAGTAGCACTTGTCGTTGCTCCATTACCAGGCTCAGATATCGTTTTCTCTATTGTTTCAAAACTGAAAACACCTCGAGCGTCATCGCTGTGCCTAATGCAAACTTTTGTCTTTTCGTAGCCATATCGTAATGGGCTGTCAACCTTCTTCAAGTTGACTGTAAAGCACTTGTTATCCTCTGGTTTGGAATTTTCTATCGTATAAATAGTGATGTTTTGTTCTCGTTGGCGATCGTAGAATTTTAGAATGCTACGTGGCGGAGTGTATGCTGGGATATAGAAGTCTGTATTTCTCTCGGCTGTTTTGCTGTTTTCAACGTAATATTCGACACTGATGTTTCCCAGGCTTCCTTGGGTTCGTTCGACAATGACGTCAAATGCTCCAGTACTTTCATTGACGTAATAACTAAAAATATAGAATAATCCATATTTGTATTTTAATAAACGAGAAAGGAAGTGATTGGGGGAAAGAAACAAGGAGAGAGAATGAAAGATTAGAGATGTAGGGATGCAGGGATGAAGGAAAGAAAGAAGGAAAGAAGAACAACTAAGGAAAGAAGGAAACCAGAAGGAAACCAGAAGGAAAGAAAGAAAGAAAGACAGACAGACAGA